AAAATTTAATTTATTATTAAATATTAATATTTTTAACAAGTAAATCCTTCAACAATTTAATTTAATTAAATGACCACTTGGCACATAATTAAAATTACCTTAAAAGTTAAAAATTAATTTCAATTTTATAAATCCCCAAATTAAAATCATTCATGTGTTATTGGTGTTGAAAATAAAATTATTTTTTTTATTTTTTTATATGAATTAATGAAAAAAAATATATGATGTGCTGGGAAATTTCATTCACACAAAAAAGACACATCGATAGAGATCTCCTTTATCCTGTTGCAATAATTCACTGTTCTTTTCTGTAAATGATTTATTAGTTTTGAATAGAATTAATTTAATTTTTTTAAAATTAGCATTTGAGTAAGCTCCTCCAGTTGCTTCTTCAAACCCACTGCTTGGCTAATTTGCACACCAACAAGGGAAGTAGCAAGTGAAATTGCTTTGGGAATTGTAGCCCCTATGACAGGGCTAAGGAAGATGAGGACGATTTTAGCCATTATGCTTTGGAGACACCGAGAATGATTGCAAGTACAAAGAAGTTTTTAGAGAAAGTGTGTTGTAAGTGTAGGGCAAGGTAACAACTGGCTTAAAGAAATATTGAACGTTCTCTCGAGCTAAGGATAAGTATAGGAAGTAACCAGCCACCCTAAAATCAACCCTCAGCACATCAACATTGATTATTAATCCTAAGTTCCTAACTTTTGAATTTTCAACTACGCGTTTTTAGATTTTATGATGTGTTGGGAAATTTCGTTCACACATAGAAGACACATCGATAGAGATCTCCCTTGTCCTGTTGCAATAATTCAGTGTTCTTTTCTGTAAATGATTTATTAGTCTTGAATAGAATTAATTTAATATTTTTCAAATTAACATTTGAGCAAGCTCCTCTAGTTGTTTCTTCAAACCCCCTGCGTGGTTGATCTACACACAAGCAAGTGAAGTAGCAAGTGAAATTTCTTTGGGAATTGCAACCTCTATGACAGGGCCACTACAAATAGAATGCCTTTTACCAACGGAAGTTTATACTAACGGACATGAATCTGTCCATATAAAACCATCTATACCAACGGAAAATTTAAGTAGTTAGTATACACAGATCTATACCAACGGAAAAATTATCCATTAGTATAAGATGGATTTATACAAACGAATTCTAATTATCCGTCTGTACCGAGCATGTCAATTCTAACGGATAATCATTATCCATCTGTGTACCTGTGACTATACAGACGGATTAACGTTGTCTGTGTAATTCTCTATTTCTTAAACATAATTTTTTTTCTTTTCAATTTTAGCCATTTGTATATATTTTCCCATCCCCCACATCTTCCCAATTTTCCCTCCCCAAATTCTGAGTTTCCCTCCCTTGGTAGACCTAATTATTTCCGTCCTTCTCCCAAATCTCCAAATTTTGGAGTTGATTTTGCTAAAACTCAAAAACCCATTCGAACCTAATTGCCAAATTCATTTCCTCGACTCTAATCCATCAACAACAGTAGGTCAATAGGTGAGTTTGTGTTGATTTTGGGTGATTTCTTCCTAATCCTCTTCGTTTCTTCTCTCTGCCAGAGGTGTTGCTAACGCGGATTGGAACATTCTCGATGATGCGGCGGAGTTTGACCTCTAGGTCATCCTCTTCCTCCTTTAACACTGGCTTCTCATACTCCACAATCGCCATCGATCCCGCTGCAGGAAGACGCGGCAGTAGTCCCGATTTCTATTCCGCCAACCCTAACTACATGTTCGCGTCCTTCGGTCTGCCTGTCAACATTTTGTCTCAAAACCCTAACAAAACTGAGACTTTATGGTTTTTAGGAAGATAATTTAACTCCTGTTTGAGTTTGACTGATAATTTGTAGGGTTTTGCATAATCAAGGGATTTGGGGTTGGAGAATAAGTGCTACAGGGGAGAGAGGTTGCTGCTCTGGATCTGCTTGAAACCCATTTCTCCCTTTTTCTACCACTATTTCCATCTGTCATCTCTCGATTTCATTGTTTCCTCAGGTATTCCCCTTTCTCTCGTCTTCTTCACTCTTCCTTTCTCCCATTTGCTTGCTGTTCTCTATCTCTCTCT